CCAACAGGGCTCTTCTGAGGTTCTTATGAAGGCCTCGGCCTCTCGGCCCTGTTGCTGGCCCGCCAGAGGAACTGGTTGGCCACTGTGTGAGACAGGAGGCTGGACTGGATGGACCCTCACTGGTCTGACCCAACAGGGCTCTTCTGAGGTTCTTATGAAGGCCTCGGCCTCTATGCCCTGTTGTTGGCCCACAGAGGAACTGGCTGGCCACTGTGTGAGACAGGAGGCTGGACTAGGTGGACCCTCCCTGGTCTGACCCAACAGGGCTCTTCTGAGGTTCCTATAAAGGCCTCGGCCTCTATGCCCTGTTGTTGGCCCACAAAGGAACTGGTTGGCCCCTGTGTGAGACAGGAGGCTGGACTAGGTGGACCCTCCCTGGTCTGACCCAACAGGGCTCTTCTGAGGTTCTTATGAAGGCCTCGGCCTCTATGCCCTGTTGTTGGCCCACAGAGGAACTGGTTGGCCACTGTGTGAGACAGGATGCTGGACTAGGTGGACCCTCACTGGTCTGATCCAGCAGGGCTCTTCTGATGTTCTTATTAGGGGAAGGCCTCAGCCTCTATGCCCTGTTGTCAGCCATCCAAAGGACTTGGTTGGCCCCTGTGTGAGGCAGGACGCTGGACTAGAAGGACCCTCACTGGTCTGATCCAGCAGGGCTCTTCTGATGTTCTTATTAGGGGAAGGCCTCAGCCTCTATGCCCTGTTGTCAGCCATCCAAAGGACTTGGTTGGCCCCTGTGTGAGGCAGGACGCTGGACTAGAAGGACCCTCACTGGTCAGATCCAGCAGGGCTCTTCTGATGTTCTTAGGAAGGGCTCGACCTCTCTGCCCTGTTGTTGGCCCTCCAGAGGAACTGGCTGGCCACAGTGTGAGATGGGATGCTGGACTAGATGGACCACTCGTCTTCTTATGTTCTTACGGTGATTCAAATGTGGAATTCACTGCCAGAGGATGTAGTGATGGCCACAGGAGTAAACCGGATTGAAAGGGGATTAGATAGATTCACAGAGGAGAGGTCTGTCAGTGGCTACCAGCCATGGGGACTGAGGGGAACCTGCACTTTCAGAGGCACTAATCCTCTGAATCCCAGAGCCAGAAGGCAACATCAGGAGAAGGCCTCGGCCTCTCTGCCCTGTTGTTGGCCGTCCAGGGGACCTGGTTGGCCACTGTGTGAGACAGGATGCTGGACTCGATGGGCCACTGGTCTGATCCAGCAGGGCTCTTCTGATGTTCTTATGAAGGCCTCGGCCTCTCTGCCCTGTTGTTGGCCCTCCAGAGGAACTGGTTGGCGCCTGTGTGAGACAGGATGCTGTACCAGATGGACCCTTGGTCTGATCCAGCAGGGCTATTTTGATGTTTTTATGAAGGCCTCAGCCTCTGTGCCTTGCTGTCAGCCCTCCAGAGGAACTGTTTGGCCACCATGTGGGACAGGATGCTGGACGAGATGGACCACATGAGGGATTGACACTTGCGATCTCTGGGCGAGACGTCTTTATTGTCGTCCCCCAAAGAGCAATTGCCGTCAGTGTACCCCCCCACACACACTTTTTCAAAGCTTGCCCCTCTTTGCTCAGTTTAATGTATTCAATTGCTGCCATTGAATGCATAACTGTATGTGAACAACATAATTGAATTGCCATGTAAAGACCTGGGTTAGGATCCAAATCCATCCAATTGCATTGCTAGCCCAGGAAGAACCATCCAATCACTTGTCAGCAAGCTCCCTGAGCGGGAACGTCCGTGATTGGTCCTTATGCATACAAACTTATTGGTTGGTAAATGTACAGTAAAGGTAAAGGTTCCCTTGCTCGAAAGCCAGTCGAGTCTGACTCTAGGGTTGCAGTGCTCATCTCTGTTTCCAAGCCGAAGAGCCAGCGCTGTCCGAAGACGTTTCCGTGGTCATGTGGCCGGCATGACTAAACACCAAGGCGCATGGAACGCTGTTACCTTCCCACCGAAGTGGTCCCTATTTATCTACTTGCAATTTCTTGCTTTCGAACTGCCAGGTTGGCAGGAGCTGGAACTAGGAGACGGGAGCTCACTCCGTCATGCGGCACACTCGGGTCTCGAACTGCTGAACTACCGACCTTCCACAGCCTGCAGTTCAGCGTCTTAACCACTTGAGCCACCGCAGCTCCATGTACAGTCGCCGTGGCTATATTAGCTGGGAGAGTTTAAAAGCAGGACAGCTGCAGTGTAAAAGCTGTTCTGGCTATCAGAGGTTGATCCGTGTTGGAGCTGTGTCCGAGTTGTTGAATAAAGCCGAATCTTTGCCGAATCACCCTCCGACTACTTTGTTAAGCGAGCGACTTAACGCTTAGTGGCCTGGTCCACCCCCAGTTCCTTGACCCACGTCTGTCCTCTCTCCCTCCGCACAGGCAAGGCTGTGGGGATTGTGACGACCACCCGCATCCAGCACGCCTCTCCGGGGGCTTCCTACGCGCACTCGGTCAACCGAGACTGGTACGCTGACGACGACTTGCCAGAAGAGGCCATCCGGGAGGGCTGCAAAGACATTGCTTACCAGCTGGTCCACAATACAGACATCAATGTGAGTGCCGGTTGAGTGGGTAGCCCCATAGGGCTGGGATTGGGAGGCACAGCCATGGGAGGTAATGGTTGCCAAACTCCAGGCGGGGCCTGGAGATCTCCTGGAATTGCCACTGATCTCCAGACTACACAAACCAGGGGTCATTTCGTAGAAAAAGAGGTGCAGGAGCTCGTTAGCATAACTCATTAGCATAATTCATTTGCATATGCCACAGCCCCTGACATCACCGGAAGTGTGTCAGGAGGCAACACCCACCGCTCAGGCTCCACTGGACTGTTTTGGATTGCTAGCTATTGGGGGGGGGACGTGCAGATCTGTCCTCACAGAGGAGGGAGAGCTTGTACCTGAATAAAACTTGGTCTTAAAGGTGCCACTGGACTGTTTTGGATTGCTAGCATTCGGGGAGGGGGGAACGTGCAGATCTCGCGGAGGAGGGAGAGCTTGTGCCTGAATAAAACTTGGTCTTAAAGGTGCCACTGGACTGTTTTGGATTGCTAGCTATGGGGGGGGGGTAACGCGCAGATCTGCCCTCACAGAGAAGGGAGAGCTGATACCTGTAGGCTGGCGGGGGGGGGGGCTCTGCAACTTACCTGGCTGCTTCTTGCTCTGACTGAGGGCTGCTGGGAGCAGGGGGTGGGGCTTGTTGCATGTGCCCGCCCCTGGGCTCCTTACTGCCGGAGCTCCGCTCCCGTGTGCTTCCGCAGGAAATCACCCCTGCCCTGGAGACAATGGCTGCTTTGGAGGGAGGACTGTATGGCAGTATACCCCCACCAAGGTGCCTCCCCTCCCCAAATTCTTGCTGGACTGAGCAACTCAGCATGCTTGGAGATTGGGGGGTTGCGCTACAGCACTCTAAGGGTGTATAGGTATTATCTCCTGAGACCATAAGTTTTGTACAAAGTTGATACCTTAAACAAAGAATCCAGGAGAAATTTCCTCCCATAAAAATCTGAGCAAGCACCATATATAGCAAAGCTCTCTGCTTGGTAGGAACAGGCTGACAAAACATGGGGTTGGAACACCTTCCCTGTGAGGAAAGGCCGAAGAGTCTGGGACTTTTCCATTTAGTAAAGAGATAAGTATTGGGGGGGGGGGGACGGGACAGGATAGAGGTTTATAAAATGATGCACGGGGTGGAGAGAGCTGACAAAGAGAACTTTTTCTCCCTCTCGCAAAAGACTGGAAGTCGAGGGCATCCCGTGAAGCTGATGGGCAGCAGGTTCAGAACAGACGAAAGGAAATACTTCTTTACACAGAGAGTGATTAAAATGTGGAATCTGCTACCGGACGATGTCATAATGGCCACAGGAATAAACATCTTATAAAGGGGATGTCACGGCTCAGGTGGGGGTGTCACCTGACGCTGCCACCACTCTGGTTCCAGGCTCCCTTGAGAAGGCCCAGAGCACCCTCCCAAGACCTTCAGACCTCCCTTGTTTGGCCAAATAGTAGGCGTGAGGACCAGGCAGAGTACAACAAGGAAAAGGTTTATTTCATAGGAGGTCAAACAACAAGGTGCAGAATAACAGTAAGTGGGTGCCCTAACGCGTCTGAATATATACTGTCCCTAGCTCACTATTCCAAGTGGCACTAGACTACTCACCCTTCCCTCAGGATGAGGGTCTTTCCCCCACAGCAGCCTCAGTCCCTTCTGGCTCTGCCCTCTGGGAAGAAGAACAGCTTTTCCTGCTGTTCCAGATCTTCTATTCCAAGCCCTCCTCTTTTCCTATTGGTCAATTTTGGCTCCAAAACCTCTCAGGGGCTTCTGGGAGTTGTAGGCCCAGCCTCGCCTACTGCTAGCCAGGCTCCCTGGGCCTAGTAGGCCTCTGGTGGCACAGCCCAGATCATGACAGGGGCTTAGATAGATTCATGGAGGATAAGTCTATCAATGGCTGCTAGCCATGATGACTGAGGGAAACCTCCACATTCAAAGGCACTAATCCTCTGAATCCCAGAGCCAGGAGGCAACATAAGGGGAAGGCCTCGGCCTCTCTGCCCTGTGGCTGGCCCTCCAAAGGAACTGGTTGGCCCCTGTGTGAGACAGGAGGCTGGACTAGATGGACCACTGGTCTGATCCGGCAGGGCTCTTCTGATGTTCTTATGAAGGCCTCGGCCTCTCTGCCCTGTTGTTGGCCCTTCAGAGGAACTGGTTGGCCCCTGTGTGAGACAGGAGGCTGGACTAGATGGACCACTGGTCTGATCCGGCAGGGCTCTTCTGATGTTCTTATGAAGGCCTCGGCCTCTCTGCCCTGTTGTTGGCCCTTCAGAGGAACTGGTTGGCCCCTGTGTGAGACAGGAGGCTGGACTAGATGGACCACTGGTCTGATCCGGCAGGGCTCTTCTGATGTTCTTATGAAGGCCTCGGCCTCTCTGCCCTGTTGTTGGCCCTTCAGAGGAACTGGTTGGCCCCTGTGTGAGACAGGAGGCTGGACTAGATGGACCACTGGTCTGATCCGGCAGGGCTCTTCTGATGTTCTTATGAAGGCCTCGGCCTCTCTGCCCTGTTGTTGGCCCTTCAGAGGAACTGGTTGGCCCCTGTGTGAGACAGGAGGCTGGACTAGATGGACCACTGGTCTGATCCGGCAGGGCTCTTCTGATGTTCTTATGAAGGCCTCGGCCTCTCTGCCCTGTTGTTGGCCCTTCAGAGGAACTGGTTGGCCCCTGTGTGAGACAGGAGGCTGGACTAGATGGACCACTGGTCTGATCCAGCAGGGCTCTTCTGGTGTCCTTATGAAGGCCTCGGCCTCTCTGCCCTGTTGTTGGCCCTAGAGAGGAACTGGTTGGCATCTGTGTGTGACAGGATGCTGAGCTAGATGGACCACTGGTCTGATCCAGCAGGGCTCTTCTGGTGTCCTTACGAAGGCCTCGGCCTCTCTGCCCAGTTGTTGGCCCTAGAGAGGAACTGGTTGGCATCTGTGTGTGACAGGATGCTGAGCTAGATGGACCACTGGTCTGATCCAGCAGGGCTCTTCTGATGTCCTTATGAAGGCCTCGGCCTCCATGCCCTGCTGTTGGCCCTCCAGAGGAACTGGCTGGCCACTGTGTGAGACAGGAGGCTGGACTAGATGGACCAGTGGTCTGATCCAGCAGGACTCTTTTTGTGTCCTTGTGTTGTGTGAACAACCCATTGTTTAAAAACTGCATCGCTAGCTAAACCGTTGTATTTATCTACTGACAGGTGATCCTGGGAGGGGGCCGGAAGTACATGACGCCCCGGCAGACACCCGACCCTGAATATCCGGATGATTCTAAGCAGAATGGGACCCGGAACGATGGTCTGAACCTCATTGAAATGTGGATGAGCGCCAAGGAGGTATCTGAAAGGGGCAGGCCTGTGGATCAAGTGAAGGGGAGTTACGGAGGGTCAGGAGAAAGAACTGATGTCTAGGTGTAACGAGATGATGATGTGCTCCGGCCTCCAGTTAGAGAATCTGGGCCGATTCCTCCTCTAACAGAGTAATCCTGAGCAGGTCTACACAGAAGTAAGCCCCGTTTTGTTCAATTGGGCTTACTCCCAGGAAAGTGCTCTTAGGACTTCAGCTTAAGAATTGTTCTTTAAACTCTTTGGCCCGGATAGCTCCAGGATCTATCAGGTCAGGTTGTCTGCATGCCGTAATTTTGATAGTGCACATGCATTAGTTGCTAGTTCTGTTCTTTGAGCTATTACCAGCAAACCAGGCGGAGAGGTAAACTATCTTGTAATGAAAAAAAGAATTAATTCTCTTTGGCTGCGATCACACACACAAAATAATCTACTTTTCAATCTGGCCTGTAGCTAACATGGGGCCCACGGGGCCCCCTCATGTTTTTTCTGGGCTCCCCAAAGTGCTCGAACGTACCCCTGCACTGTACTTTCATTTAATTAGCTGGCAGGGCCCCCGAGGCCCCCTCCCAAAAAAATTCCCTGGCTACAGGGCTGCTTTCAATCCACTTTCCAACTGTATCTTACTGTGTGAACTGGCAGAATCAGATTTTAAAGAGCATTGAAAGTTGATTGAAAGTGGATTGTTTAGTGTGTGTGATCGCAGCCTTTATTAGACAAGTCATTAGAAAACACAAACATGTGAAAATTAACCTTGCAGCTGCTGTGAAAGCAAGTGCCAATATAATAAAATCTCCCAGCATTTCTGAACCATACTTGAATAAGTTTTTTAAGTACCCAAAGGTACACTTTTATTAATTTTTCTTTTATAATCTACAACAAACAAATCTACACACTACAAACAGACACTCTACTACACATAACATATATACCAAGAGTACAGTTACATTATATGCTTATATCCTGTTACTTAATTAATAAAAACACTCTATCAGACACTTTCCATTCTTCTGTGTTCTCAAGTCCAATGTGCTATAATTGCCTAATCTTCTATTATATTTACATTATACCAATCATAAAACTTTTTCCATGTTATTTGAAATGTCCACTCTTTGCTTAGTCTCATTTCTAAAGTCAGTTTATCATTTTCTGCTGTTTCAAAAAGTTTATTCACAAACTCCTGTTTCGTTGGTTTGAATAAGTAATTTAAAGCAAGCCAGCTTTCAGATTATTGTCCTAAACGGCTTTTAGGGAATTTTATACAAACCCAAGTCGCACGTACCAACCCAAATCTCACATAATAGCTTCTGGAAGTTCCATCCGGAGAAATCTGGTTTGCTTATCGCATCCAATACCTCGATATAGAAAAATAGCGGTCTTATCTTAACGTTAGATTTTTCATCATCTGGATACATGATTGGTTCTTAGCAAAGGCTGAGAAAATCAAACAGGTACATCTGAAGATATACCTGATATGTGTCCATCGTCTTTTTCACGCAAGATCGGAAGGCCAACATTTCTAAAGTCAGTTTATCATTTTCTGCTGTTTCAAAAAGTTTATTCACAAACTCCTGTTTCGTTGGTTTGAATAAGTAATTTAAAGCAAGCCAGCTTTTAGATTATTGTCCTAAACGGCTTTTAGGGAATTTTGTACAAACCCAAGTCACACGTACCAACCCAAATCTCACATAATAGCTTCTGGACGTTCCATCCAGAGAAATCTGATTTGCTTATCGCATCCAATACCTTGATATAGAAAAATAGCGGTCTTATCTTAATGTTAGATCTTTCATCATCCGGATACATGATTGGTTCTTAGCGAAGGCTGAGAAAATCAAACAGGTGCATCTGAAGATATACCTGATTATCTTTTTCACGCAAGATCGGAAGGCCAAAATTAACTCTTCATCTCAGTGAAAAGGCAATTAATCTAATAGGTCTGTAATTGCTCTAATTAACTGTCAAAGATAAAAGAAAAACCTGATGCCAGGGTCCCCAATTTGTAGGATCACAAATTTCCAGGTATTATTTATTTATTTATTTATTTATTTATTTATTTATTTATTTATTTATTTATTTATTTATTTATTTATTTCGATTTCTATCCCGCCTGGCCTGACAAGCAGGCTCAAGGCGGTGTACAATAACAATTTACAATAAAAACAGATAAAATCCTAACAGTAAAATATAAAGTGCAGATTAAATACAAACGATGAAGTGCAGGTGGCGATCGTTGTAGTTGGCCTTGTATGACTAGACCAGTATCCCAAAGAAAGTGCCAGTAATAGATGTTTACTAGCTTGTTCAGTGGCGCCTCCTATTCGAAAGCCTGGTGGAAGAGCTCTGTCTTGCAGGCCCTGCGGAACTGTAGAAGGTCCCGCAGGGCCCTGATGTCCTCCGGGAGCTTGTTCCACCAGTATGGAGTCGCCACCGAGAAGGCCCTGGTTCTGGTGACAGCCAATCTGACGTCCTTTGGACCAGGGACAGTCAGGCGATGTTGAGTCCCCAACCTCAGTGCTCTCTGGGGAACGTGTGGGGAAAGGCGGTCCCTCAGGTAGGCAGGCCCCCGGCCATGTAGGGCTTTAAAGGTCAAAACCAGCACCTTGAAGCGAAACCAGTATGCTATTGGCAGCCAGTGCAGCTCCCTCAGCACAGGCCAGATGCGCTCACGAATAGAGAGGCCCATCAGCAGCCTGGCTGCTGCATTCTGCACTAGCTGCAGCTTCCGGATTTGGGACAAGGGCAGCCCCATGTAGAGAGCGTTGCAGTAGTCCAATCTCGAGGTGACCATTGCGTGGATCACTGTCGCCCAGTCACTGCGTTCGAGGAAGGGAACCAACTGCCTAATCAGCCATAGATGGTAAAAGGCTGCCTTGGCAGTGGCTGCTATCTGGGCCTCCATTGTGTGTGTACGACAGGGCCAGTGGGGCAAGGCAGAGAGGGAGAGTGTACAGTCCAAGAGTCAAGCCAGAGAGATCAAAAGAGTCCGAGCAAAAGTCCCAAGCACACAAAGCCAAGCCGTAGTCAAACGTTACCGATAGTCAGAGTCCAAACAAGCCAGTATCG